CAGAATGTTGTTGTGGACAGCGAGAGTAGAGTTCAGAAAAATGTTGTGGACAGCGAAAGTAGAGTTGAGCAGAATATTGTTGTGGACAGCGAGAGTAGAGTTGAGCAGAATGTTGTGGACAGCGAGAGTAGAGTTGAACAGAATGTTGTGGACAGCGAGAGTAGAGTTGAACAGAATGTTGTGGACAGAGAGAGTAGAGTTGAGCAGAATGTTGTTGTGGACAGTGAGAGTAGAGTTGAGCAGAATGTTGTTGTGGACAGCGAGAGTAGAGTTGAACAGAATGTTGTGGACAGAGAGAGTAGACTTGAGCAGAATGTTGTTGTGGACAGCGAGAGTAGAGTTCAGCAAAATGTTGTGGACAGCGAGAGTAGAGTTGAGCAGAATGTTGTTGTGGACAGCGAGAGTAGAGTTGAGCAGAATGTTGTTGTGGACAGCGAGAGTAGAGTTGAACAGAATGTTGTTGTGGACAGTGAGAGTAGAGTTGAACAGAATGTTGTTGTGGACAGCGAGAGTAGAGTTGAACAGAATGTTGTTGTGGACAGTAAGAGTAGAGTTGAACAGAATGTTGTGGACAGTGAGAGTAGAGATGAGCAGAATGTTGTTGTGGACAGCGAGAGTAGAGTTGAGCAGAATGTTGTTGTGGACAGTGAGAGTAGAGTTGAACAGAAGGTTGTGGACAGAGAGAGTAGAGTTGAACAGAATGTTGTTGTGGACAGTGAGAGTAGAGTTGAACAGAACGTTGTTGTGGACAGTGAGAGTAGAGTTGAACAGAATGTTGTGGACAGAGAGAGTAGAGTTAAACAGAATGTTGATGTGGACAGTGAGAGTAGAGTTGAACAGAATGTTGTTGTGGACAGAGAGAGTAGAGTTGAACAGAATGTTGTGGACAGAGAGAGTAGAGTTGAACAGAATGTTGTGGACAGAAAGAGTAGAGTTAAACAGAATGTTGATGTGGACAGTGAGAGTAGAGTTGAACAGAATGTTGTTGTGGACAGTGAGAGTAGAGTTGAACAGAATGTTGTTGTGGACAGTGAGAGTAGAGTTGAACAGAATGTTGTTGTGGACAGTGAGAGTAGAATTGAACAGAATGTTGTTGTGGACAGTAAGAGTAGAGTTGAACAGAATGTTGTGGACAGAGAGAGTAGAGTTAAACAGAATGTTGATGTGGACAGTGAGAGTAGAGTTGAACAGAATGTTGTTGTGGACAGTGAGAGTAGAGTTGAACAGAATGTTGTGGACAGAGAGAGTAGAGTTAAACAGAATGTTGTTGTGGACAGTGAGAGTAGACTTGAACAGAATGTTGTTGTGGACAGTGAGAGTAGAGTTGAACAGAATGTTGTGGACAGCGAGAGTAGAGTTAAACAGAATGTTGTTGTGGACAGTGAGAGTAGAGTTGAACAGAATGTTGTTGTGGACAGTGAGAATAGAGTTGAACAGAATGTTGTTGTGGACAGCGAAAGTAGAGTTGAGCAGAATGTTGTTGTGGACAGTGAGAGTAGAGTTGAACAGAATGTTGTGGTGGACAGTGAGAGTAGAGTTGAGCAGAATGTTGTTGTGGACAGTGAGAATAGATTTGAGCAGAATGTTGTTGTGGACAGAGAGAGTAGAGTTGAGCAGAATGTTGTGGTGGACAGTGAGAATAGAGTTGAGCAGAATGTTGTTGTGGACAGCGAGAGTAGAGTTGAACAGAATGTTGTGGTGGACAGTGAGAGTAGAGTTGAGCAGAATGTTGTGGTGGACAGTGAGAATAGAGTTGAACAGAATGTTGTGGTGGACAGTGAGAGTAGAGTTGAGCAGAATGTTGTGGTGGACAGTGAGAGTAGAGTTGAGCAGAATGTTGTTGTGGACAGCGAGAGTAGAGTTGAGCAGAATGTTGTTGTGGACAGTGAGAGTAGAGTTGAACAGAATGTTGTGGTGGACAGTGAGAGTAGAGTTGAGCAGAATGTTGTGGTGGACAGTGAGAATAGAGTTGAGCAGAATGTTGTTGTGGACAGTGAGAGTAGAGATGAGCAGAATGTTGTTGTGGACAGTGAGAGTAGAGTTGAGCAGAATGTTGTTGTGGACAGCGAAAGTAGAGTTGAGCAGAATGTTGTTGTGGACAGTGAGAGTAGAGTTGAACAGAATGTTGTTGTGGACAGTGAGAGTAGAGTTGAACAGAATGTTGTTGTGGACAGCGAGAGTAGAGTTGAACAGAATGTTGTTGTGGACAGAGAGAGTAGAGTTGAACAGAATGTTCTTGTGGACAGTGAGAGTAGAGTTGAACAGAATGTTGTTGTGGACAGTGAGAGTAGAGTTGAGCAGAATGTTGTTGTGGACAGCGAGAGTAGAGTTGAGCAGAATGTTGTTGTGGACAGAGAGAGTAGAGTTGAGCAGAATGTTGTGGACAGAGAGAGTAGAGTTGAGCAGAATGTTGTTGTGGACAGTGAGAGTAGAGTTGAGCAGAATGTTGTGGTGGACAGTGAGAGTAGAGTTGAGCAGAATGTTGTTGTGGACAGCGAGAGTAGAGTTGAGCAGAATGTTGTTGTGGACAGTGAGAGTAGAGTTGAGCAGAATGTTGTTGTGGACAGTGAGAGTAGAGATGAGCAGAATGTTGTTGTGGACAGTGAGAGTAGAGTTGAACAGAATGTTGTTGTGGACAGCGAGAATAGAGTTGAGCAGAATGTTGTTGTGGACAGCGAGAGTAGAGTTGAACAGAATGTTGTTGTGGACAGCGAGAGTAGAGTTGAACAGAATGTTGTTGTGGACAGCGAGAGTAGAGTTGAACAGAATGTTGTTGTGGACAGTGAGAGTAGAGTTGAACAGAATGTTGTTGTGGACAGTGAGAGTAGAGTTGAACAGAATGTTGTTGTGGACAGCGAGAGTAGAGTTGAACAGAATGTTGTTGTGGACAGAGAGAGTAGAGTTGAACAGAATGTTGTTGTGGACAGTGAGAGTAGAGTTGAACAGAATGTTGTTGTGGACAGAGAGAGTAGAGTTGAGCAGAATGTTGTTGTGGACAGCGAGAGTAGAGTTGAGCAGAATGTTGTTGTGGACAGAGAGAGTAGAGTTGAGCAGAATGTTGTGGACAGAGAGAGTAGAGTTGAGCAGAATGTTGTTGTGGACAGTGAGAGTAGAGTTGAGCAGAATGTTGTTGTGGACAGTGAGAGTAGAGTTGAGCAGAATGTTGTTGTGGACAGCGAGAGTAGAGTTGAGCAGAATGTTGTTGTGGACAGAGAGAGTAGAGTTGAACAGAATGTTGTGGTGGACAGTGAGAATAGAGTTGAGCAGAATGTTGTTGTGGACAGTGAGAGTAGAGATGAGCAGAATGTTGTTGTGGACAGTGAGAGTAGAGTTGAACAGAATGTTGTGGACAGCGAGAGTAGAGTTGAGCAAAATGTTGTTGTGGACAGCGAGAGTAGAGTTGAGCAGAATGTTGTTGTGGACAGCGAAAGTAGAGTTGAGCAGAATGTTGTTGTGGACAGTGAGAGTAGAGTTGAACAGAATGTTGTTGTGGACAGCGAGAGTAGAGTTGAACAGAATGTTGTTGTGGACAGCGAGAGTAGAGTTGAGCAGAATGTTGTTGTGGACAGCGAGAGTAGAGTTGAACAGAATGTTGTTGTGGACAGCGAGAGTAGAGTTGAACAGAATGTTGTTGTGGACAGCGAGAGTAGAGTTGAACAGAATGTTGTTGTGGACAGCGAGAGTAGAGTTGAACAGAATGTTGTTGTGGACAGCGAGAGTAGAGTTGAACAGAATGTTGTTGTGGACAGAGAGAGTAGAGTTGAGCAGAATGTTGTTGTGGACAGTGAGAGTAGAGTTGAGCAGAATGTTGTTGTGGACAGTGAGAGTAGAGTTAAACAGAATGTTGTGGACAGCGAGAGTAGAGTTGAGCAAAATGTTGTTGTGGACAGCGAAAGTAGAGTTGAGCAGAATGTTGTTGTGGACAGCGAGAGTAGAGTTGAGCAAAATGTTGTTGTGGACAGCGAAAGTAGAGTTGAGCAGAATGTTGTTGTGGACAGAGAGAGTAGAGTTGAGCAGAATGTTGTTGTGGACAGTGAGAGTAGAGTTGAACAGAATGTTGTGGACAGCGAGAGTAGAGTTGAACAGAATGTTGTTGTGGACAGAGAGAGTAGAGTTAAACAGAATGTTGTGGACAGCGAGAGTAGAGTTGAGCAAAATGTTGTTGTGGACAGCGAGAGTAGAGTTGAGCAGAATGTTGTTGTGAGAGTAGAGTTGAACAGAATGTTGTGGACAGCGAGAGTAGAGTTGAACAGAATGTTGTTGTGGACAGAGAGAGTAGAGTTGAGCAGAATGTTGTTGTGGACAGTGAGAGTAGAGTTGAACAGAATGTTGTGGACAGCGAGAGTAGAGTTGAACAGAATGTTGTTGTGGACAGAGAGAGTAGAGTTGAGCAGAATGTTGTTGTGGACAGTGAGAGTAGAGTTGAACAGAATGTTGTTGTGGACAGTGAGAGTAGAGTTGAACAGAATGTTGTGGACAGCGAGAGTAGAGTTGAGCAGAATGTTGTTGTGGACAGCGAGAGTAGAGTTGAACAGAATGTTGTTGTGGACAGTGAGAGTAGAGTTGAGCAGAATGTTGTTGTGGACAGAGAGAGTAGAGTTGAGCAGAATGTTGTTGTGGACAGTGAGAGTAGAGTTGAGCAGAATGTTGTTGTGGACAGTGAGAGTAGAGTTGAGCAGAATGTTGTTGTGGACAGAGAGAGTAGAGTTGAGCAGAATGTTGTTGTGGACAGAGAGAGTAGAGTTGAACAGAATGTTGTTGTGGACAGTGAGAGTAGAGTTGAGCAGAATGTTGTTGTGGACAGTGAGAGTAGAGTTGAACAGAATGTTGTTGTGGACAGTGAGAGTAGAGTTGAACAGAATGTTGTGGACAGCGAGAGTAGAGTTGAGCAGAATGTTGTTGTGGACAGCGAGAGTAGAGTTGAACAGAATGTTGTTGTGGACAGTGAGAGTAGAGTTGAGCAGAATGTTGTTGTGGACAGTGAGAATAGAGTTGAACACCTGAACTTCATGCTGGAGTCTTTGCTGGAGCGAGCGGAGCAGTGAAACTCCTGAGCGCCCGAGCCCTCGAGGATCCTCTGAAGGTTTCTCTCGGTGATTCCCCCGCCTGCACACACACACACACACACGCACACACACACACGCACACACACACGCGCACACACACACACACACACACACGCACACACACACACACACACACACGCAAACATCATCAGGAGCTCGTCTGGACACTGCAGGTGTTATTACATTAACGAGGAACTAGATTCAAACATACCTGGCATTATTGCTATTCTGCCTTTTGCCTATTAGAGTGAAGAGAGAAAATGCATTACAGTTGGAATGTTTTGTCATAAAAGCAAATATAATATAATGGAAACAAGTCAAAATATCAATTCATAACTTCTGAGCACAACATTTTCAGCGCACTTGTCATAAAGCTACTCTGTGGTTGTCTTGTGTGTTTCGGGACAGCCTTCGATGCTCTGGTCGATCGCCACTGAAGGATGAAACTGAACTGATGCAGAACATTATACCTTCTACTGAACGTCTTTATTAGGGCTGTCCAATAAAATTTGAAATTCGAATATTCGTCGAATTAAAAAAAATTGCACATTCGAATGCAAAAAGCGTGCATTCGAATTTTTGGTGTGTCAAGAGTCGCTCGCGTGAGACATGATGATGCCGTCACTGACACGGTGTGTTTCTGTTAGCTTATCCAGTATACAGTGTGTGTGTGTTTATCAGCTGAAACACTGTGAAGAGAAAGCACTCAGCGTGTGTGTGTGTGTGTGTGTATCAGCTAAAACAGAAAGCGCTCAGCACTCGCTCAGATCAAGAGCGTCTGGTGTTTTGATGAACTGTATGTAGATGTAGTGAGCAGATGAGAGTGTTTCTGAATCTCAGTGTGTGTGTGTGTGTGTGTGTGTGTGTGTGTGTGTGTGTGTGTGTGTGTGTGTGTGTGTGTGTGTGTGTGTGTGTGTGTGTGTGTGTGTTTTGATGAACTGTATGTACCGTAGATGTAGTGAGCAGAAGAGAGTGTTTCTGAATGGCAGTTTGCTGTTGTGTGTTCATGTAGTAACGTTACATTACACTGTGTGTCGAAGTGTGTTTTCTCAGGTTACTGATGCACAAACACAGTTTAACGCACTATTGTAGCCTAATTTTACTTGCATGCACATTGAGGAAATTATATGTTATTTAAAGGTCCCCTGACATGGGGTTATTTTATTATTTTATAATGTTTCCTGGGTTGCCCTTATATTGTTAGTATGTTTTTTTAGATAAAAAATAGTCATAATTTAGAAATAAAAGGCATTTTTCCTAGCCTGATTTTAGCCTCTGATTTGAACGCTCTGTTTGAAGGGGCGTGTCTGCTGTGGGATTCAGTGGAACCGCCCACTGCTGTGATTGGCTGACATGCTTGCATATGAAATAGCTACGCATTACATGTGAAACTTTCTTGAATACTTTTACTACAGCTATTATACATTTTTACTATTACAGCTATCGAGATTAACGAATCGTGAGAAGTTTTTAAAGTATTTAGATCTGATACTATAGCCGTGATGAGCATTGAGCAGCAGATCACAGTCTGTTGATCGCGAGAATGAAGATCTTATCTTTGCAACGCAGTTTCTGCACTCTCTCTAATGCTTTCACCAATGCAAACACGATGATGTACATACAGTAAGAGCTTCGTTGTGCAGTAACGTGCGTCATTGATTTTATAACGAGTTGTCCAGATAAACTCGCGCTGTGTGGAAAGATTGTTCTTTGATCGCTTTCTGTATAATTTGTTCAGAATTTAAATAAGATTATTTTCATCCTACTAAAAGAAACGATGTGAAGTTGATATTTTAGTCACTGGCTTGACTTACTGATGCATAAACAGTATTGAACGATTTTGAAGTACCTGTCTGAACTTGAACAATTAGGCTACACATCAGAAATTGTTGCTTGGTAGCTCGATCGATTTATTTTCAGACGTTCATCGAGTTGAGGAAACATGTTTGGACCATACAAAACTTTGGGAAGTTGTGTCGGCGCATTTCCAGAGAAAATAAAATTAACCCATTGTTTCTTCAGAGGCTCGGATGAAGGAACTAAAGAATACTTTTGTGTTCATTTGTACATCCGAACACTGATCAACTTCCATGCTTCGCTCGTTTGCAAGCCATGATATCTCTCGAGGAAAAACTCAAATCTCAAAGCTATTTCTCTAGGAAAAACTAAAATCGCGCCGGCGCGTTCGTACTTCCTGTTCCTAGCTCGTTTTCTCATGGGCAAGCCGAATTCTCCGGGCGGGCAAAGCAGAGAAAGGGGAGGTAACCTTTCCTCATTATGACGTCATAAGGAGGAGATTCAAGATCAGCGGGTCTGAGCTGCAGAGAAGAGAAAAATACCCAAAGCTCGGTTTACACAGATTGAAAATTCTAGACACGAGGGGACCAAATACAGGCTAGGGGAACTAATATTAATGTTAAAAACCCTCAGAAACTGAAGATTTCATGTCAGGGGACCTTTAAGAACAAAATTGTTTCAAAAGTTAATGCACTTTAAATAGTGAATGTCGTTTAATTTTAATAAAAGATGCGATGCTTGATTTGGTTTATATTTGCTTTTCTTGTGGACACAGGAGACAATACAGTACTTTTTCCCTCTAACATTAAAGGTGCAGTCTGTAAGAATGACACTAGTGGCAGTGATGGAGTACTCGAGTCCTGGACTCGGACTCGAGTCCGACTCGAGTCCTTATTCTCTGGACTCGAGTCCGACTCGACACTTCATTCTCTGGACTCGTGACTCGACTCGGACTCGCGGACTGATGACTATACTTGGACTCGGACTCGAGAATATATAAAATCGGACTTGAGCATTCATCAAATGAATGACATTGTTTCTGACTAAATAGGTTATAAAAAATGTATATAAGATGTTAAACTTTTCCTGTTTCGGGGTCCAAGACCGGCCGTGATCTATTTTTTCCCCCACAGACACTGCTACCGCTCGCTCTCCTCGCTTGACAACACACTCACTGACGTCACTCACTTTACACCGCATTCTCGTGAGAGAGTTAACGTAACACTCATTTAACACTAGATAAGTTCCTCTACATCTAATCAGTAATTTCGATTTTGGCACGCTTTGCAGCAGCTGAGCTGACCACTAAGGAGCGAACGTACAGTGACGTGACATTAAAAGGTACCAGATTTAAACTGTGCTTTCGTGCTATGGCTGGCGCTGAGCCAAAATCAGACGCGCTCAGCGCTTAATCCCGCTTATCATACAATAACACAATTATGTTTATTTTAGCTAACAAACTAGACGGCGACCTTGACTATGTCACACATCGCAACCACTCTTTTCCTGCGGAGTTACAACTGCTTATAGCACTTCATTTTCTGTTTTTTTTGCCGCAGTTACATTGGGATTTAGTTTGCTTTTCAAAATTTCAAAATTGTTTTTCTTTTACCATATTCGTCAAGAAGAATGCATTTCTCCTCCTCTGTCCAATTAGGCTTTCTTTTTTGTTTTCTTTATCCATTCCACTTGACTGATCATCCAAAAATGTATTTAAACAATTAAATAAATAATCGTGCCACAGCTAGTTGACAATGATTTGAACTAAGGTCAAAGGCAATTCTAGTGATATCATGAACATGTCTAGCTGCAAGAAAGAGTGCCTAAAAAATGTTGCTTGATTTGGCTTAAGTGTATATAATTTCGACTCGGACTTGAACACGGGACTCGAGACTCGACTCGGACTTGAACTCAGGTAATGGTGACTCGACTCGGACTCTTCTTTGGTGACTCGGACTTGGACTCGAACACTGGGACTCGAGACTCGACTCGGACTCGACAGTTGGTGACTCGACTACAACACTGACTAGTGGTGAAAAGAGGTACTGCAGTCCGATTCAACATATCAGAGATCGTGGTTTCTCCCGCCTCCACAGACTCACGGGTCGCCAGTTTGAGACACGCAACAGGAACGAGCGCAATGGACAATGAAAATTGGCACATTGGAAACGTGCGGTATCACAGATCAAAACAATAACAAACATTCCAGCCTGGAAACACACATTTCAGAGTAAAATAACCGGCTGTAGAAGTGTTTCTCAGAGAAACGAGTGTGTGAACTCAGCATGTTTCCTCAATATATGCAAACAGATTATGGTATTTTTATGCTTTAGTAGAGTGAAAAGGTTACACACAGCACCTTTAAATATTGCCTTTACAATTTGAATGTACAAAATTATAAACGCAACACTTTTGTTTTTGCCCCCATTTTTCATGAGCTGAACTCAAAGATCTAAGACTTCTTCTATGTACACAAAAGGCCTATTTCTCTCAAATATTGTTCACAAATCTGTCTAAATGTGTGTTAGTGAGCACTTCTTTGCCGAGATAATCCATCCACCTCACAGGTGTGGCATATCAAGATGCTGAGATTAGACAGCAGGATTATCGCACAGGTGTGCCTTAGGCTGTCCACAATAAAAGGCAACTCTAAAATGGATTCCATTTAGCTTAGAGTAGTCCAGATGAAGTGCCACCTGACCTGTTCCACCAGTCGTTTGATCACAGGTAAGCCTTCCAGTGCAGAGCTGTCACAGCCACTGGTCAGAACCCTCTCGAAGCCCAGCGAGACCAGAACCTCCAGCGCAGCCACTGGATCCTGGACCATATCGAAGGCTGAAGGACACAGGAGTTCTTCAGAGAATGACCTCTTACTGCTGTTTATTACACACTCATCATCCTGTTCAGTAAGAGCCGTTTTACCTCTGTGGAATGTAACCGGTAGAGGTCGACAAGCCGCTGTGGAGAACAGAGATAAAGCATCCGACGGCTGTTAAATATAAATAACAAATAAAAATAAAATAAAAAATAAATAAATATATGCATTACTAAAACATGATGTGTTCACATTCCCACTTATAAGAATTTACTTTGGGAGCAAGAATTGAAAATAATGGGTAAAAGAAAAATTTCTTTAAAAAACAAAACATTTTCTCTCTGATAACATTGGGGAAAGAAATGATCAATTAAAATTGAAGATAAAACTTGGCAATTTTGCAAGAGATTTGGAAATATGCTCAAATGATAGAACTCTGTAATCATACAAAACCAATTCAGTAATACACATCCATCCATCCATCCATCCTTCCATCCATCCATCCATCCATCCATCCTTCCATCCATCCACCCACCCACCCATCCTTCCATCCATCCATCCATCCTTCCATCCTTCCACCCACCCATCCATCCATCCATCCAAACTTCCATCCTTAAAATGACTTTTCCTCTTTGGTCCGGTCCAAAGAGCCCAGAGCTGTAGGCGTCAGTGAAACTGCGGTGATGTCTTACCCATCAGCTCGACGCAGAGCTCAGTGTCCACTCGGCCGTCCCCCGTCAGCGCCCCGAACACCAGCCCGTCGGCCCGGTGACTCTTCATCAGCTCCATGTCCCTCTTCATCACCTCCACCTCCCAGTGCGAATACATGAAGTCTCCTCCACGGGGCCGGATCATCACGTACACCGGGACCCGCACGCTCTCCTTCACCACCTGCAGCAGACCTGAGTACACACACACACACACACACACACACACTGAGGATCATCACGAACACCGGGACCCGCACGCTCTCCTTCACCACCTGCAGCAGACCTGAGCACACACACACACACACACACACACACACACTGAGGATCATCACGAACACCGGGACCCGCACGCTCTCCTTCACCACCTGCAGCAGACCTGAGCACACACACACACACACACACACTGAGGATCATCAAGAACACCACACACACACACACACACACACACAAACTGAGGATCATCACGTACATCGGGACCCGCACGCTCTCCTTCACCACCTGCAGCAGACCTGAGCACACACACACACACACACACACACACACACTGAAGATCATCAAGAACACCACACACACACACACACACACACACACACACACACACACAAACTGAGGATCATCACGAATACCACACACACACACTGAGGATCATCACGTACACCAGGACCCGCACGCTCTCCTTCACCACCTGCAGCAGACCTGAGCACACACACACACACGGAGGATCATCCCGAACACCACACACACACACACACACACACACACACACACACTGAGGATCATCACGTACACCGGGACCCGCACGCTCTCCTTCACCACCTGCAGCAGACCTGAGCACACACACACACACACACACACACTGAGGATCATCACGAACACCGGGACCCGCACGCTCTCCTTCACCACCTGCAGCAGACCTGAGCACACACACACACGCTACTAACTAACTCAACCAGGCCCCGCCCCTTTATTCTGCGTATGAATTATTATAATGAGAAATATTGTGACGTGTTCGTTTTCCGGAAGAAACTCAAGACTACAATGGAGGCGTTTCAGGAGTTCAGAAACACTGACACTCATATAGAGAATAACTCCCTTTTTCATGATCAAACAGCAACATCACACACTAAAGAAAGATGAACATGGGAAAACAGAGTAGATCCTCTTCATCGTCTGTGGTTTAAAGAACCCCTCTGAACTGATGGTCTCAGGTGTGTGTGTGTGTGTGTGTGTGTGTGTGTGTGTGTGTGTGTGTGTGTGTGTGTGTGTGTGTGTGTGTGTGTGTGTGTGTGTGTGTGTGTGTGTGTGTGTGTGTGTGTGTGTGTGTGTGTGTGTGTGTGTTTTGACCTGTACTGGGCGTCGTCCCTCCCTCCAGCAGGTTACCGCACAGCTCGATACGACCCGCTCCTGAACACACACACACACACACACACACACACACACACACGATAACACATGAGAGCTGCCCAAAAAACAATTACAAAACACTCAACAGAAATGTGCAATATTCAATGCCACCAATCTGAAGATATATATAATTTTCACTAAACTATATTCAAGAATATGTGTGAACTTGTACCTCCCCTCTCTGCGTTTACGGCTGACTCGACTGAGTCCACACACACCTCCATCAGGAGACCGTCACACATCTGAAACACACACACACACACCTGCTGGCTTTACACTGCAAAACTGACACACAAGCTGCATATTACACCACAAAAACATATACACAAACTGAGAAGAGTTGGCATTTACACCGAAACCAAAAATTATTCAGACTACCAGATAGTTCTATAGTTCATTTCTGTAAGTGAGGAGAGCAAAATAAAGTAAACTGTGACATATTATACCCAAATATTCTTCATACAGTGACTACCTGTAAAAATTTGGGACCAAATATGATTCCTCCACTTTGAGCTGATCATGTTCTGCTGAAGTGTGTTTTCTGTAATTGCTAATGCTCTTTTTACACACAGACTGAACAACATGAAGCATTGCTTGGTCACTGGTTGAGCTAAACTGGTATTATCTAATTGTGGAGTTAAATTTAACAGCTGACAGATATTCAACATAATTCATGTGTGAGAGTCTAACAGAAGGACAGACAAAACCAGTGAAATATCCACTGATCTGATAACTCTGAGTTCTGCTCATGTTTTATTACCATTTTCTAACTTATAGCGAATAAACTGTGATAATGTGAGAAATGTTGAAGGTGTCTGAAATCTGAATAAATTTTGGTTTGACTGTATGTATTCACACATGAACTGTAATAGAAGTCATGATTGAAGCAAGAAACAATATGGAAACATAAAATTGTAAATAGGATTCTAAATAAAAATATTACAATATAATAATATGTTCTAATGACAACCGCCAGGTTTAAGGCTGGTCTGATGCTGTACATTCCCAGCTAACAGGGAACGTTCCCACAACGCTCACTAATGTTTTGCAATGTTATGTGAAACGTTCTTTAAAATACATTTATAGAACATTCTTATATTAATAATATTTTATATGCATTTTCATGATGCTGAGAGAAAACGTTCTTAGAACAACATTCTTGAAACATGTTAATGATGTTTGCTCTTAAATATTCTCTATGTTAACAGGAAATGTCCTTAGCTAGAACAACAACATCAAGTATTATGTTGTTGTTGATTTTTGCTATTCCAACGTTCTCGGAATGTTACAAATAAACATTAAAATAACGTTGAACTGCGAACAAAAGTAAGTTTGTACTAACATTATCGTATCCTTTCAATAGTGTTCTAATCACGACAAGAAATGTAGACATTTCAGAAACATTGTCAATCACTATTCACGCTTTTAGAACATGAAGTGTTAGCTGGGTTTAGACACACACAAAGACTCGGACTTTATAATGTCAGTTCAGTCTTGGGGAACACAGATCGTGTTCACTAGGCGTCAGAGAGAGGAGAGAGGGGTTTAGTGGTCCACAGTCGCTCAGTAACATCAGACCAGTGGCACTGAAACCACTTTATTATATACTTTAGCTGCCATACTGCACGGCTTTTATGGGGGTTTGGAACCATTTGAAAATCAAATAAAAGCAAATGATAGAAGCGTGTTAAAATGTCATACATACTACAATGCCTCCTTAAAGGTCACGTTTATGTATTATTACTGAAATCATGAAATGGTCGTGTTTGTTTTCACATATAATGACCGATCGTGTTCTCTGTTACCTCGCGTGAGCGTCCAGCGCCGGAAGCGTTTCTCACTGTCAAACTCTCGCGAGATTCACACATGTCGAGATTCACACTGTTCTGGGGAGACTTGTAAACAGCTTGTAAACTGAACTAGTTTGCTACTTTGCTAAAGAGTTCGGGTAAAATCCATGGTAAAATCACCAGACGTTATGCTGCTCGTGAGTGTGTGTGTGTGTGTGTGTGTGTGTGTGTGTGTGTGTGTGTGTGGACTCTGTTTAGGCGCGTCGCGTTGGGCGTCAAAAGCACATAATCAGTGACGCCTACAACAGTTGTTAACAAAAGACTATTGCTAACGTTCCCATTAAGTTCCCATTAACGTTCCCATGAACACGTTATTTCTGAATGTTCTTTTCTTTGTGTTAAATGTTTAAAAACGTTCTTGGTTATGCGAACGTTAAGGACACATTCCATTCATTCTGCAAACATTTTGGGAATGTTACTTTGGAATCTTCTCTTAATGTTCTGAAAGTAGCAACTTTTGAAAAATTAACATACAGCTAAAACTTTCCATGAACGATAAATAACGTTTTTGTGCTAACGTTTTGTGAACACAATTAGAGAATATAACTAAAGACTATAAAGTATGAAGACTATAAAGAAGAGGTCAAGTCTGAAGAAGACCCTCATCAGATTTTAAACCAGATGTAACTGTCTCATAGTCGTGTAAATCCTCTGTATGTCAGATTTCTGCAATCTCAGAAGGCTTGTCCTCATGCAAGAGAGTTTGATTTCATCCCTAATTTCTAAGTGGTTAAACTGGCGGTGTTAAAACTGACAAACTTCAGAACAAAAGCGCAACACTCACTCTACGAACATAGACATAGAGAGGGAAAAAATTATATCAATAAAACATAAAATAATCAATTTCTTGATGGGGTCCCTGTTGACATCTAGACTTGCATCTCAAATGAACATAAACTGACTGTAGTTCGACCCATGGTCTCTCCTATGTTGCTCGGAAAGTATAAAATTATAAGGAAAACAAGAAAAAATTGATGCAACCACCGTATTGCCGCTCTTTTTCGACCCAAGGAGAACATTTTAAACTAAACAGAATCATCAACAACAGAATCAAAGAGCCAGAGCAACAGTTACAATCTTCTTTTATCCTTTCCCTGACCATGTGACTAAAACCCAAATGAGAGACATTCAAACTGACCAATCAGATAAACACAACTGATAATCCCCCACGGTAGTAAAGGTGTGACAATTCATAGACCCCCGAAGAACACACACCTTGATCATATCGGCCCCTCGACTCCAAACGGGCTCTGGGGAACGGGAAACTGTAAAGCAAATGTCTTTGTTCATTTCAAATATCTTGGATTATTTTCAATCCTACACCAGAAAACATGAAAAGTGAAACTCAGTAACTTAGTTTTGGTGAGCCTTTCTCTGCATGCAAGCATGTCAAAAAATAAGAATAATCAGATTTCGCTCCTTCTGACGTATGAAGAGGATCTTATTCTAATATTAGCGGCCCTTAATCTGCACGTTTACACTCACAGAGAGACCGTTCTGACGCAACGGCAGAAGTATAAGCATGTTTATATAATCATATATTCACTGAGTGATTCACATATATTTTTAAATCATATGTTGCTGTGACGTGAGCGTTTCCCAGTTCCTTCTAGTGTGTTCTGATGTCTGAGAGTAATCTCTGAACGAGGAGCGAGAGGACCGGCTCTTGTGTTGGGGGAACGGCTAATAGAAGAGGTCAAGACCCTCATCAGATGAGTGTGTAAGAGCCATTATGCTCTATAGTGTCTGCTGTAGTTCCACTGGGAAACACTGGGTGGAGTATGGGCTTAATGTGGTAACCAGAGAGCAAGAGACGTCAGTTTTTGTCAAATTGACATAGAGAGTGCATCATCTTTTCCTTTTCTGTGTCACTGTTGGACATAAAGCTGGTAAGTGTACGATGACAGAAGCTCACTGATCTGTATTTAAAAGTATTCTTTGTAGATATGATTAAATTGTCTGAAGAGTATAAACTGGCCAGCAAATCTGTTGGGATGATCTTGATACTTTTCAATTTATTTGTGTGGTTTGCTTTACTTATTATTATTATAACATTTACAAATTACATTATAAATGTATATTTTGTTTATGTTCAATAAAAAAAAAGAAAACTCTCCCCTTACAAAAATAACCTACAGGAATATTATGCAGATTTCCTACAGGATTTTCAGCTCATTTTCCTGCAGGAATATTATGAAGGAAAACATGCAGGAATTATATCCTCCAGGGCTTTAAAATATAATATTCGATCTTCCTGCAGGACCGTTGTGCAGGATATATATGCAGTTATGCAGGACTTTGCCAGTTGTCTTAACTTCACAACAAACAATGTATTTTCACAAATTATTAATTTTATTTATTGAAACTGTCAGAGCAGAGCGAAGCGGAGTCCAATTCACAGACACGTGTTGCTCTACCAGTTAAACCAAGCCTCTACACTGTTTTCCTGGGAAAAAGGAAAAACGAGTGTGTGTGTGAGAGAGAGAGAGCATGAACGTGTGTGTGTGTGTGTGTGTGCGTGTATGTGTGTGAGA